ATATCTATGAGTGCCACCTGCTTGGCAAACCAGCCAGCACATCCTGCGAGTATATCCATCAACAGTCACTGCCCCCTAAGGGAAGCCAAAACAGAGACACTCGAAAAAAAAAAAAAAAAAAAAAAAAAAAAAATAGATAAATAGGGAAAAAAGGAAAAACCAATTCAAAACTAGGGGAAGGAAAATTGCCCATTGAAATGTAAACCAGGAAATCGGGGTTTGGCTTTTTCCGGCTTTACGGGGAACAAAAGACGCAAAGAAGAAGCGACAGCGAGCAAAAATATAAAAAATATATATACACATACAAAAACAAATACAAAGAGCATAGCAGTTTTCAAATCCAGCAAAAAAAGAAATAAGTGTCAACAACCCAGAAGGCGACTCCCAGTGCGTGTGTGAGTGAGTGAGATGGCTATAAATAGGGAGATAGCTGGCAGGCAGGCAGGCAGTCAGGCAGGCAAAAAGTAGCTACTGTTTTGTTATTTTGTATTGTTAGATAATAATAATCATATCGCATTGCATGTTGTTGACACATGAGCAATGATGCTGCCCGCTTATCTCCGCTCTACTCCACTCACTCGCACAGTTACCCACTCCACTCGCCCTGCCTCGCTCGCTCTAACTGTCATATCTTTGCATCGCCATCCTCTCTCCTCCTGCCTATGTAATTATTTAACAGCGCAATTAAAGAACTCGGCTCTGTTAGCGTTAACAGTGCTCGGTTAACGCTCTGCTAATTGGCTCTGTTTTTGGCATATTAATTAATTCACCTGCATCGGACAGTTGCATTTAATATGCGCTGCGGCTGGAAAATATACGATTTTATACGATTTTCATTTCCCTCAGTTGACTTTTATATTTATTTTTAATTTTTTTTTTTTTTTTGTACGCTTGTCTGGCTGCAAATTAAAAACCTGATTCTGTTTCAATTAATCATCGACTGTTAATGATGCTTAATTTACGCTCTCCCTGGTGCTATTCACTGCCCCCGAATGCAGTTCAGCTTAACCAGCTTGTAGGGAGCAACAATACTTTAGTATTGATTTTAATTTGAAATCTTTTATTTACAGTAATTTCGTGTTACTTCTTTTAGTGTAAAGAAAATGTGCTACGTCTCGCACATACAGATTTCTAGTTTAACGTAAACAATGCTCAAACTCGTAGCATATTTCTAGTGCTGTACAACAAAGCAAAACATATTTTAGGCATTAGCCCATGCCTTAGGAAAAACACTTAAAAGACGTTTAGCAAAATTCAATTTTTTTTGCTCCCTTTTTTTCCCAACACAAAACCCCCTCGTTGAACTGAGTGAAAACAACGCCCCAAAAGTAAAACATATACAACACACCCACGCAGACTCATACACACACACCGTCAGACGTTAAAGAGACCTAGACACAGTACCGAAGCCGAGTTCCGAGCTGCGAGCCCGGCCGACAGTGTCTGCAAATGACAGCAGCTTTACGCTCTTATATAAAAGCCAAAACATGTGATATGTTTTTGTGCGCATAGCCCACGTTATATATGTATATATACATATATATATGTGTATCACCCAATATATATATATATACATACCCTATGTACAACAATTTCTTGGCTAAAGCCACCCACAAACAGATTACAAAGCAATGCCAACCCTCGTGGCTGAAGCAACCCCCAGGCAGAGGGAAAATAAAAACGCGGCTGTACGCGGACTACGAGGACGCCATGACAGACACTGTGCCAATTCCATGCGTTCCACGGCGCCACGTTAAACGCTTTTCGCCGTTGTACCCGCTAGGAAATTAACAATTTGGGCCTCAGTTAATGGGGGCGTAGGCGCCACAAAATATGCAAAGTACATTTCTATAGCGGCCTATATCAAAGTTCTGCCTCTTCTTCCAGCCATCTATTTCTTCTTTTTTTTTTACATTTTCGGCTTTTTATGTACAGGCTTGGGATTTACTTTATTGAAATATTTAAATAAGTTTGGCAATGCGCACAGCCTAAATGGGATTTGCATGGCACGGACGTCCTTTTGAAAGTGTGTGGAAATGTCTTTTGGCTCTGAAATTGACATTTTATAAATGGGCTACGATTTTGCTCCTCTCTCCAAATTTCGCTCTCTCTCTCACACTCTCGGGTTTCTTTTTTTTACATTCAGCTCTAAACTTAAAGCAATAAAATATTTAAATGCACATTTTTTTGTTGTTGTTTCTAAATGTAAAATGTGAAAATTATGCGTTTGTTTAGCGGCTACAAAAAACCCCTTTCTCCTGGCAGGCGCGTGTCGCACACTTCTCGGCAGCTAGCCCGCTGTGCCACGACCGCAAGAGCGCACCAGGAGCTGCCCATCTGGGATATGCTAGCAGAGAACTACTCATAAAAACAGGCAGTCAGTCCGGCTGATACTGATAAGAACCATTGGAAAACAGCGTGAGATAGCTAGATAGATAGAGATAGACAGATAGAGGAAAAATAAGCAGAAAGACAGCTGCCCGTTTAATGTGATGTAATTAGCGTTTTGTAGAGTATGGAAAATTTTCTAGGCAGATAACATGACAATGTTCCGCAAACAAAGTCAAGAGAGAGACGATAATATTTAATTTAACTTTAAAACAGATTGCAATAATATATATGTATATAATGTTATTCAAAGTAATCCCAAATTCTTTAGAAATTCCTAATTTCAATTGTCTTAAACGCTCAATTATAAAATCACACAAGTAAAGCCGACACTTGACATTGTCAGACGCCCTTCACATCACGACCTGCTCCAAACTTCAATTGAAATTGTTTTGTAGACCTTTACGAATCGTATCGAAATGCATTTGCTTCGCTTGTTCCCTAGCCATTTCTCATTGTTGCTGTCAAAATAATTGAGCCAGTCGGTTTTGGAGTGATTGTTCGGGTATTACGCATATTTATGACTGTTCAATTTTGACAAATTAGTAGAATAATTCAACAACAGAAGTATACAAAATTTATTTCTTAACATAGCTGCACGCCATTCACATCGAAAACTCATTTGGGCCGAGTCTAAAACAAACTCAAAGTTTATGCAAATGCGCGTAATAAACCACATAAATTAGTATTAAATTACAACGCAGGCAGCCAGACAATAAACAATAAAAAATATAACAAAAGCAACAACAAGAAGAAGAAATCATAAAAAAAAGTCAGACTAAAACTTGTTGAGCTTGTCACAGGGCAGAGTCCAGCAGCACCGCTGGATGTCTTTTTATATGGCGCATACACAAAGCCCCCAAAAGGGACAGATAATGCAGCTTTTCAGTGTAGTGCCCCACTCGGGCACTCCCCCAATCAAGCCCCCCAACTACGTACGCTTTAAGCTCAAGGTGTGAAAATGTTCGATTATTGTCATCGTCTGTTTGGCTCGGATGATGTTTTTTTTTGTGTGGGTCGCCAACTTTGGGCCGGGGTTTAGAGCTGATTCTGTGGTTCTGCGGTTCTGTGGCTCTCGTGTCGACTGAGCCGCTTAGCTGCAATTGTCATATGGCGATGCTTATAATGGCCGCTTAGCTGGCACATAAATGCCATATGCTAAATGGGATTTTAGTCAACTTTTCGTTTATGAAGTGTGCATTCTCGCACTCACTCTCCCATGCATCGCTCTCTGTCTTCCATGCTGTGTCTCTCTTTTTCTTAGTCTGCATCAAGTTGATTGAAACTTATAAAGTCAGCTGTGGGCGATTGTTTTGGCTTACGAGCAGATTATGACACTTACTGAATAGATCTGATAACTTACTGAATAGCTTGATAATGTGCTTTACAGTACTACATTTCTGAAAGAATTCATAATATACAAATATTTAGAGCTGGCATACTCTACAATCATTTTAGAGCGTATTTTACAACACTATACAGTATCTTTAAAAAATTTGTTGTATTGAATATTCAATTTAGCTACTGTTTCAATACATGTTTATAAATATCTATGAATGTCTGGAGTCTGTTATATTAAATATTATTTAAGGTATTTTACAACACCTAAACATATATTTATTAATTTCTTTAAGATCTCATTAGGAGTTTTAAGAGCATTTAAACATATATTTATTAAAAATCACATTTGCCTAACTGATCACATTTCCCTGAAAGCAACTTTCGTTCTCCAAATATTAACTCAGTTCTGGGAACCACTTTAAATAGAGGTTTATTTATACCTAATATTCCCATCTTGATCAAAACACATCTGTAACACATATTTGCCAAATTATAGGTTAGTCCTCTCCACACAAAATATGGCTTATTATTTATGACTAGCTTCAGGCCTAATCAAATAATTGTATCTGAAATATAACTAGGGACTGTTTTTAGGGACGGCAACTCTTTGGCTTGGCCAACAAATAACACATAATTTTCTAATAAGCCATAAAATATCACCCAATCTTAAAGGCTAGCCTTTAAATGTTTAGCCCTTGGCCTGTTTGTTGCTTGGAAAAGGTGTTATAGACATGGCTCTAATGCTTGTCCATAATAGATGTTAACCTCTGACCTTTTTCTTCCAACCTATTTTGACCCGTTGTCCGTTTAGTTTTTCACATGTCCCGACAAAAGGACAACAACAGGCGGCAGCGACACAGGTGAATTTTTCCGCTCACTCGTTTTAATTTTGGATTCGGGTTCGGGCTCAGCTTCGGGGTTTGGGGTTCGTAGTTCAGGCAAGTGTGCGTCTCTGGCCGCTGTTTGATTTCAAACAATGCCTTGATCCCGCATAATTTATATGATTTTTCTCTATAAAAATGCTGGACAGACGTCGCCTTTTTCCCACCTTTATTAAATTGTATTGATATTGAGTTTGACTTCGAGTTCGAGTTCATAAATGTTTCATCTTTTATGGGGTCTGTCCTATGGTGTATATTTATATTTTATGCGTGGCACATAAATAATGGCATTTACAGCGAGAGGAGGGAAACCTGTGGCATTTCTTTTGTTTAAATTTAACAACAATAACTTACCAAAGTTTTTCCGTATTTTTCTTTGCCTATTTCCAGGCGAGAAGCCGTTCAAGTGCGAGCACGAGGGCTGCGATCGCCGTTTCGCCAACTCCTCGGACCGTAAGAAGCACTCGCATGTGCATACATCGGACAAACCCTACAACTGTCGCATCAATGGCTGTGATAAGTCCTATACGCATCCCTCCTCGCTGCGCAAGCACATGAAGGTAAGTACGGTACAGGGATTAGCCACTGTCCTCCATCTACTCCGCATGGCCAGCTCAATCTTCAGCTCTAACTGATGAAACCGTCTTCTCCACTCTGTTTTGTTGCATTTTCAGGTGCATGGCAACATTGACGAGAAGTCGCCGTCGCATGGCTACGATAGCGAAGGCGAGGAGAGCTCCAGCTCGAGCATTGTAACGGGCGGGGCACAGACACCGCCCTCGACGCGTCTGGATGGCAGTGCGGGCAGCAGCAGTGGCGTCAGCAGCTTGAGCGGCGGCAGCGGCATTAAATCCTCACCGCACTCTATCAAATCGGAGCCAAATCCCTTGCACAGCGTGCATCTGGGCGCCTCCAGCGCCGGCAGCAGCAGCACAGCCAGCAGCACTGCCTCCCACCTGTTGCAGCAGCAGCAGCAGCAACAACAACAACAGCAACAACAACAGCAGCAACAACAGCAGCAACAGCAACAACAACAGCAACAGCAGCAACAACTACTGCATGCCGAGTCCAAATCCTCGCCTGCGCTGCAGCTGATGGCCTCCTCCGCGTATCTGCCCCCACCACTGGGACCACCGCCCTCGCATCATCATCATCACCATCATCATCAGGTGCCTGGAACAGCAGCGGCAGCTGGCTCACCGGGCGCCGCTGCATCGGCATCCATGCTGGCTGTAACTGGACATCACAATCATCATTTGCTGTACCACCCGGCGGCGCAGCATCATCCGCCCAGCGACTGGTATCACACGGCAGCGCCGGCGGCCAGTGCAGACGCGATGAATCCATTGAATCACTTCGGCCACCATCATCATCATCATCATCTGATGCATCCGGGCGCGGCGACAGCGTATTGAGATTGGGAGAACTGGTGGCCCGAGTCCGAACTGCCGCCCCAACAAGCGGCAGCCGGCGTGCCGCCAGAGGAGCCAACGCCAGCCCTCGACTGGATATGCTGTCAGCGCCTGCAGAATTTGGCGCTCGTCGCGCAATGTGAAAACCAAATATTTCTGAAAGTTGAAGAAAACACTTTAAACTTTTTACCTGATAATTGAAAAATTGCTGTTAAAACAAAATTATACCTATACAAAAAATTTATATATTATAATAAATATATATATAATAAAGTATTTAAATCTAAACTAAATACGAAATTCGTCAATGAGTTGAGAGTACTTTAAAAAACCTATGATTATTATGTATTTTAAAATAATATACACAAAAGAAAAATGAGAATAAAAAGGAAGACCGCAAAATTTGCCGAAATTTTTTGCTATTTAAATGTTAGTCTTGTAGTTGCTTTTTGTTTTGATGGTGCGAACAATGGAAATTCTTGTAAATTATGAAATCTAACTACTATAAATGTATAAAATAACATAAATTTATATTAACGATTATAAATTAACTTAAGCATATTGACTATTTAATTATTAAGATTAGCAAATTTTTCAAGCTGCTTTTCATCCTCGAACGAAATACAAACCCAAGAAATACAAAAAAAATAAATAAAAATAGAAAACATTCAAAATCAGCTCCTCCAGCTTTCTAGTACAAAAATGGAAAAATTGCAAATACACTGTAAAAAAAAATTAATTTAAAAGCTACACATATACGTACGTGCATTTTTGGCCTTAGATTTCCAAGCTTAAGAGTACACAAAATAAAATTTAAAAAGAAAAAAAAAAAATCGACACGAAAAATAAATATAAAGAAAAACTATAAAAAAAATTGAAATATACTGTTTTTTTTTTTTTTTTTTGGCTAAAATTTATTACTTGGTTTTACCAGCTTGCTAACCTTGAAAGATAAACTGAAACCTTTTCGCTCTCAAGAAGATTCTAACTCCTACGCCACAAAAACCTTTCCAACCATGGCCAGTTCCAGTTGGCTTTGAGATATTTATGATGATAATATAATTTTGGGAAATGCAAATTGCAATTTTGATCTGTTAATTAAATAAATTTTAATAGTTGACAGGGTTGCATCATGAATATTTATATATGCTTGGTCTTAAGCAGATTTCATTGTTAATTTGGTTTGATAGGCTTTTTTTTTTTTGTTCGTGTTTCACTCAGCGGTGCCAAAAATATTTATGCGTATCTGATTTCAGTGGGCCAAGCCATCAAAAATTTAATAGCTAGCATTACGGCAGCTATTAGCGAGGTCTGTTAATCAACATTACCATAACATAACAAGCAATTACACTGAGAGAAATGGTTGGCTGATATCATATATATGGCAAAGAGTATATGGATTAGATACAGGAAGACAATTATTATTATTACTTATTATTTAACACTCCTTTGGCATTCCTACTATGTTATTAGTATGTTAGCTAGCAGTAAAAAGTATATGAATTCAGTATTTTCATCAATATTAGTACACCATTTTTTTCCAAGTGCATCCCCAGTCTTTATTGAAGTGAAATTTTGTTGTTTTATTTATACAGTTTTTTTTTGGCAAGCAAATTTTTCTAGTGATGAAAGGCCCGTCAAACCCGGCCACGGTTGTTAGCACTCCAGCGTGTAACAAAAATCAAACGATTTATGTTTTTTTAATTAACCCAACAATTTGTTACGTGCCTCAAACTGACACACACATACACACGTACACTTATATGCACACACACTCACACACATAGCATGAGGTAGGTAGCTGCCCCAACTCTGTGGCTAGTCAAGCTGTTAGCTGCGCTGTATGGCCATAACGAATTCATATTTTGATTTATTGAATAGAAATCGATTGGATTAATCTAAAGAAATTATATTGCGGCTGCCGTTGCGGCCGACGCGACGGCTTGTCTAAGAAAATTTGCCACGACCATGCCGCTTTCCTTTCTCTCACACTCCTTCACTCTCTCTCTCTCTCTCTTTTTTTCTCTGATGAACTCCCAGGAGCGGGTATTGAAATTAAAGAAAAACAGGCAGAAAACTGTTTGTGCCAAGCAATTAAATTTGGTATTTTATTATTATTTATTTATTTTTTAATTTTCAGCCAGAAACTTCCCAAACACGTTGAGGCAAATAAAATGGTAACAGGTTTGGTTAGATTGGCTCTGGGACCTCAGTAGATTTTGGTTAGGCTGTACGAATGGAAGACTCCAAATAAAAGCCATTAAAATAAGTTTAGCAGTATGCAGCTGAAGACAGCTCGTTACTAACTTGACAGTATGAGAGTTAACTGATTAAGCTGGAAAATTGCATGTATCAAAAAAATGGCATATATACATATATGTATATAGTTAAGTTGTTCACTAGTTTCAATTCAGCCAACAGTAGCCAACGGAACTGCTTAACTATCACTTTAAAAGTCAAATCTATGGCAATCTATAAGCCCAGCCCAAGCCTCGTGCTCCCAGCTGCACGTATTTCGTTCCCATGTCAAAGTAGACGGCAAAAAACCTTTAAACAAATCAAGCTGCGACCACACAAAACCCAACAACAGCAAACAGCAACAAACAACGTCAACAACTGACAAACATTTGAGCGAGCAGCAGAAAAAAAAAGAGAAAAAACTGAAAATAAAATCAGCCAACAAAAATGGCCAAAAAGCGACACAGACAAAAAACTTGTTGACACAAAGCTCTACACCCATTGTATCTGGGCTATATGGGCATGCCAGCTCGCTCTAGCGTGCACTCCCGCTGCCTCTCTCTCGCTCTTGCACTCTGTTGCTCGCTCTCGCTCTCGCACACAGCCAAGCGCTCACTTTGTGTCGGCACAATTTAAGTTTCAATGAGCGACTATTTGTTGCAATTTAAACTGAACGCGTTTATAAATTGACGTCGGAAACTGGCGTCGAGTGCTCATAGGAGGCCACCAATAGCCCCCCTCTGCCCTCTGTACCACCGCTGGGCAGGTAACACAGGGACGTCGTGAGCGGGGAACGATGAAGAGGCGGAGGGGAAGGGGCGGAGGGATAGGCCAAATCAACTGGCAGTAGGCAGCGACTGTGACAGCGACAGCGATGCTGCCAGCTGCGGACAGGCAAACATTTTGCACGCTGCGTTGTTGTTGTTACTGTTGTTATTGTTGTTACTGTAGAGATACCCTATAGCTGTGGCAATTAAGTGGGTATACTGATATGACACAGAATATCTACAAATACACATATTCCAAGCCAACGTTATAAATTTGCAAATATTTTTTATAAATATTATATTTTATATATATAATAAGAATAATTTCTATAATATTTAAAAAATATTATTAATAATAAGAATTTATATATATTTTATTAAGTTTGAAATTAGTAAACAATTTATGAAATATATGAACTCAAACATCAATATTATTTATAAAAAATTATTATTTTTTTTTATAATTAGATTATATGAAAATGTGAATATTAAAAGTCTGCTTACAGGGTATGTGCAGTCTGTACATCGTAAGTAGATCACTCTAACAAGCAATTGTTGTTGTTTTTCTGGTTTGTGTCCGAAAAAGCGACGTTTAAATAACATAAATTAATTTCGACTAGTTATAGTTATCTATAGTTATAGTTGTTTGGCTTTTGTGGTCGACTAATTTGTGCGGTTGGCAGTTTTAATTTACCAGTTGTATATTGTTCGTTAAAGGGAGAGTGCGGGGGAAGGCAGCGAATAAGTTAGTTTGTCAGCGAACTAATAAATTTTAAATGTGAACGAATTTTACGTTTTCTGGCCATAATTTTGGCCAAAATTGAAATTATGTTTTGTTGAATATTATTCTGTAGGAGTTGCTTCTATTTGTTGTTGTAATTCTTTTACGTTTCTGTATTAAATAATTAATCTACAATCAGCTAATTTAAAGCGTAAATGAAGAAGTTTCTGAGAGCCAAATTGTTGCGCTTGGGTTAATTTGTTCTCTGGGCAAGATCTATAGGGCCGCCAACAAAGTTATCCTTGGCGTTGCGAGAGACGAACAAAAGACTCGGAAACAAATTAAAAAGCCACGCAACTTAAGTTTTTTTCCATTTGTAAAACGTTGGTAACAATGGGCCGCTCCCCACAATCAACACCATCGAGTGGCGATCGCGTCGAGGCAGACGCATTGGCACCACGATTCACAAACAGTTAATGATGGATTTTACACTTGGCTAATAGTTTTTTGATACAAAATTTAACGCCAAAGCCAAATTACAATAGGCACTCACACTCACGCACCTCCGCCCTGGCCACACACAGCAGAAACTTAATTAGTTTTCAAAGTGCAGCCAACATCGAATATCAGAAAGAATGATAAATTGTTGCAAAGAGTCGGCTCACTCGCTCGCTGCTTGGCTGCTTCCAAGCTGTCTGGACCGATCTGTGTTTCTGTGCCGATATACATATATTGAGTTACGATGTCAGCGGCATAGATCATTAAAATTACAGAGTTTCCCAAGTTCCCAAGAAATGCCAGGCTGGCCGCAACAGCTGGTGCACTGTGGCATCCACATCAGAAAATAATAAAAAAAATAAATAAATAAAATAAAAGGAAAAAACTTTGTAATTTTTCAATAAGAAGAGTCCACCAAAACTAAATTAGCTGAACGCAGGGAACGAGAGCGCATGCAAATTTCACAGGAATCAAAAACGCGAAACGTACAAATAATAATAAAAATAATCAAGAAGAAGCAGCACAGCAGATAGGCTTATATATAGGTATACCAAGCCCAAAAAGTCGTTGCAGCCGCGTGTGACTTATGACTGAGGCGCAGACTGAACTCGAGCCGGGACTGGAGTTGTCTCTGAAGAGCTGGGATTGGGACTGCGACTGGACCTTAGCCTGAGCCAGTGCCTGTGCCAGGGTCTGCGCCTCGAACTGGCATCGTGTGTCTCGTTTCGTTTTGGCCCATGTGCAGACAGTTGCGAAATTATATTTGCGCAGCGTCATGCAGCACCATTGTGTTCAGGAATTGGCGTCCGAGCAGGGATCGAGCGAGCCAAGCGGACGACTCCGCGGCCGATTTGTCAGTGCAGACGAATAGTTTAACTGGCCCAAGTGCTTTGGCATACACTCAAAGAAAAGTATATACATATATAACTAAGATAAACCAGCAATGTATGCAAGTCGAAAGTTTCGTTTAAAATGGTTAGCCAAGGCTTTATATGGTTAACAAACTGGGGAAACGATGAATACAGTTTAGTCTAAGAGACTCTAGGCTCTACGATGCATACAGCTTTTCTCTGAGTGCATTTGGATTTGCAGGTTGCTCGCGGACACTGTGAGAGGCTGCCCTAGTCCCTTGGCCAGGCTACATCATCGTCATCGTGCTATTCAAACAAATGATTTACAAAATGTTAAATGAATTATGCATTCTGCATATGCGACTGGGCCATTTCGTGCCATTTTTCATATTAGCTCCAAGTGCAGAACCTGTGCCAGCGACTCCAGCATCAGCCTCAACTCCAGCTCGAATACGGACTCCGACTCCAGCTTTGGTGTTGGCTTTAATAAATTGGCGTGGGGTGCGCCTGCAGCAATTGTTGTTGTTGCTAGTGTTGTTGTTGTTGTTCGCATTGACCATTGTGGCTAAGCGTTGGGAATTCTATGCTGAGTCGAGCAATGTCAATGCCTAAGCAAATATAGCAATGCTTTAGCCGCAGACCTTTAATAATCAAGTCATATAAATTGAGTGCATTTTTCATAATAAATGAAGGGAATTGTCTAAATTATGCTGATCAGCAAACTGGATACATCGATGGCAGAGTGCGTGTGGGTTTCCAAGGAGA